GAATGGAGTGACTTAGCATTTTGTCTTGTTGCGGTTGCAGGTATTTTGACAGATGTGAAGGCATTATGATGCATTGTTACAAAATATGCTTGTGCTGGTTAACAGAGCATCTGGGCCCTCTGGCACAAAGCGATCTTAGCGCTAAGATGATCGTAACTTTAGCAGAGGCTTACGATGGTCCTAGTGCTAAGATCGGTGTGTGCAAGTAGGCCCAGGAGCACTTGTTAATCAACACAAGCATATTTGGTAACAAATGCTGATATTCAGATACTTGCAGCTTAACACGTGATATATACTACTCAAAAGACGTTAAGGACTACCCGATTCTTTCTTTTGAGGATTGACTATGTATTTTGTCGGGTCATTGAGGTATGAGTCGAAAAACCGATGTGCAAACTGTATGAATCTGCGTGAAGGAAAGCAATAACACGTGACCAATTCAGCTAATCAGAATGCAAATTTAATTATATTACTTTAGTTAATATATCATGGCATGACAGATTAAATATAGTTATATGAAGGAATCGCTGGCCCTTAGGTATTGGAATGGGGTTTAACATCGCGTCCAAGAGTATTGCACTTCTATAGCGACGTTCATGCACGTGTGTGTGTATCTGCTTGTACTAGTCCGGACTGATGCCAATTTAAAGTACTAGCTCACTGAGATACCATACCGCAGTTTAACATGAATACCCCACTCAGACACAGTTTACTGACTCCGAGCCGACCAGTCCTTATTTTAGCTTTAGCCCCTTAATGCCGAGCAGACAGGGTAACAACAAGTACCATCTTTTAACGTCTTTTGATATGCCGCGGCCGGGAATCGAACCCCGGGACTTCCGTTCTCCGGGCGGACGCTCTACCACTAGACCACGGAGGCGGTCCGGTGGTCCTTAAGTTCTTTTGAGTAGTATATATATATATAACAAACAGGTGGTATACAGAACGAATTATATACACAAGATGATGAATAACACATCAATATTCATATTGCCATAATTATGACCTTTTCAATATGTGAGTATTCATGTATGTGTACCCAAACACCAGTATTGTTCATATTCTATTGCATATAGAGAAAACATACATATAACAAGTATTGATCACAAAATTAGTAAAGTGATAAAGACGTTTACTGAAACCCTTGTGGAATTAAAGTATAAGGCTGAGGACGCGGCAATTATGTCACTCGATTCATCTAATGTCATGAAATGTGACAAAACTTAATTATAGTGTACATTACTTCCCTTTCTCAGTACGAAATTTGTTTCATGGTTGTTGTTTGACACCATACACAGCAGTATTCCAATTCTGCTTTGAGAAAAAAACTATATAAACAACTAAAATCCGACATTTTTCTACTGATTTGATGCGCGAAAATACTGGAGCATTATATTTAGTGAGTGAGTGAGTGAGTGAATAAGGTTTTACGCCGCTTTTCGCAATATTCCAGCAATATCACGGCGGGGGACACCAGAAATGGGCTTCACACATTGTACCCATGTCGGGAATCGAACCCGGGTCTTCGGCGTGACGAGCGAACGCTTTAACCACTAGGCTACCCGACCGCCCCTTATATTTAGTGAATAGTCTAGAGGTTTCAAGAATGCAATTCAGAGCATATTAAATTTGTCGTTATTTGAAAATAAGTTGTTTTGTGTTTAGATGAAATAAGCAAAACGGTATCTAAATCTCAAAGTAGAATAAAGTAGAGGCGATAATAATAATAGTTGCGTTATTATGATTACAGTAAACTACGGTTATAACGAACTCAAAGGGACAACTGATTTTAGTTCGATATAACCGTAGTTCGTTATAAGCAAATATACAGCATATATACAGCAAATGGCCGGGACCAAACATATGTTCGTTATATCCGTCAGTTCGTTATAAGCGTGTTCGATATAAACGTAGTTTACTGTATTTGGGTAAAACAAATATCCCCTTGATTCCCAAGTTAGTCTGGGTCCCCAATTACTTAAGCTTGCCCGTAGGGGGCGGTTGTATTGGGTCTGTGACATATTGATTGCGTGTCACCGGTTCCCGACGGCGTTGAACAATGCTCATAATATCCACCACAAGCTTGTATGACCAAGGATTGTTTTTCACAGGCCGCCGTGATATAGCTGGAAAACAAGAAAACAAACCGTTGCATGATCATCCTTCCTTTCTCTGCTAACCCAGTTAATCACTACACGGCTCGTGAAGATCCGGGTTGGAATTGGTCTTCAGCATCCCATGCTTGTCATAAGAGGCGACTAACGGGATGTCATCGTATCCAAATTGCGTGGATCGCTGCTCATGATATCAATCACTGGATTGTCTGGTCCAGACTTGATTATTGACAGACCGCCGTCATAGTGCCGAGTGCGGCGTTAAACAACAAACAATCATCGCTACACCGCCTTTCTAAAAGCTATGATAAACACTATTAAGAAACATGAATAGGGAAGGAAGTACGAATGTATTGATTAAAGGCTTATGTAAGTTTGATCAGCACACATCTGAAAACTGGGATCGTGACATTAATAAAAATCATATCAGATCAGATAAAGATTAAAATAAATTAGATAAGATAAGATAAAAATTAAATTAAATCAGATCGATGCGCCTCCGAGACTTTCAGCGGGGCTGTCCTACTGACGTCACACTGACGTCATGTATATTCATGACGTCATACCCAATGACTCTTACCCAACTGATATAGTCATTTGATAGATAATCGCGTTATGATCTCCAAACTTCATATTTCTGTTTTTTGTTTTTGTGTTTTCCTTGTTTGTACCCTGTCAGCCAACAAGAAACATTGACTTCTAAAGTGAGTGGTGGTTCTAGCGGTAGAAGCGGACGTTCGTTCTCTTTCGCGAACACCTGGTGTCATCACTGATTTCCAACGATGTATTCATATCATTTTCAGCGCTATTTTGCCTTTTACGCATTCGTCACCACTCGTCCCTTTCCGTAACTTGCAAGAAGACTCGTCTCCCTATTGATGAATGTTATGTGCGAAAATACGACAAACCAATCAGAATGCGCGTATGACTTCAAGTACTTCGGTCAAAGAATCTCTCAGGGATATTTTTTTATTTTACATATGTCTTGCATTTAAAAATACACCCAAGATACAGTTAAGTGTGTTCAAACATATTGCATAATACTGTTGGTCTCGATGTGTTTTCAATAGCATCTGGAATATATATGATATATGGGGAAATATACGTTAATCCTTACGCAACGAGTAGACAATTCTTTTAGCTATGCCAGTTTGCGCTTAGACGGAACCCAGTTGCAAAAATGGCCACGAAAGGGGCACGAGTCGCTATTCGGCTTGTCACGGAATAACACGAGTTGGTCACGAATGCCTTTTACGCCCAGTGGAATCCGTTTCGGCGGATAATCGAGACTGAATGTCCCCTGGCGTTGACTGTTTATGCATTTGAATTAATATTACTTCCTAATTATGCGTTTGACAATAATATTGTAGATAAGAACCGATTCAGAAAAAATCCTATTGATGCGTATTTGATTCAGATTTGTTGCAGTTAACCGGTTCATCGATTTATCGTTGGAACCATGTCAACGATATTTTAAAATTCAATTTGTGATTTTTTTGCGTTTAATATTGTTTCCACGTGAATACGAACAGCTGTCAGTCAAATAATAATTTAGTCTTCTAATTCAAATTTTATGATGTACATTATCTAGCTGTACATGATTACACCAATCCCATGGAGACAATGTCGGAATTCCACTAATTACAATGTCTAGACATTCATTGGCACCAGGGTCGTCAGCCACAAAGCGTTCGTAGCGTTACGACAGTCGTAAATCTATCTTAACCTGTAAAGATACAATGTCGTAACGCAACGGGCGCATTGTGGACCGGGGCTAATAACACGGAGCCTAGTTCCTCTTAAACTGTATTTTACAGCTAAGAATAACAAGCAGCAATATGCAGCCTTCTGTGCCCAGAACAATGCTCCTAAAAATCAATGCGCTCATATAAAAATACCTTTACAATATAAAGCTCAGTTCTTCAGACTCGGGTACTCGTATATAATACAACAAACTATGTCTTTTTCCACTCAATTAAACTCGCTACATAATACACAGTGTGGTAGCCATATGTTACAGTCTTACACACGACAATAAATCATTCTCAACGTTCGGTGTCTGCAATCCGGAGCTAAAATTCTAAAGATCAATGTCAATTGATATTTTGCACTTGCTGACCTTTCGGTAACACAAATAGCTATAGGTTTGTTTGCAAAATTGAGTCCCAACTCAAGTCGACGCTAAAAAATTTCTAGGTCATTTTATATATGAAGGCAGTTTTTTCAGCAGTTGTATACACACTCCGACCTGCAATAGTAACGGACTGAATCGATATCAGTTGTTATAAAAACAATCGTTTCTAACTGACCTTAGCTAGCTCGTGAAATATGTATAATAAATCTATATTAATAATACTGAATATTTTAACATTATTCAAGTGATGTCATGGCGTGTTAGCCCGAAGCATTCTCAGGAGGAGAATGGTGCTGACAAACCTAAAAAAATCGGGTCGAACCCGGATTCGAACCCATAATCATCGGTTTCTGGTGTGACCAAGGGACGCAACTCTTCACAGTGAATTGCGCCGACTTGGGCGACTGAGTAACCAGTCGGCCCCCCGTGCCCCTATAGTTGGTTGGTTGGTTGGTTTGTTGTTTAACGCCGCACTCAGCAATATTACAGCTATATGACGGTGGTCTGTAAATAATCGAGTCTAGACCAGACAATCTAGTGATTAATATCATGAGCATCGATCCACGCAATTGGGATTGATGACATTCTTCAACCAAGTCAGCGAGCCTGACCACCCGATCCCGTTAGTCGCCTTTTACAAGCATAGTCACCTTTTACGGCAAGTATGGGTTGCTGAAGACCTATTCTACCCCGGAATCTTCACGGGTCTGCCCCTATAGAAATACCAGGACACAAATATAAAACCACACAGGTCAGGTTGAAATGAGGTTTTATTGGAAGCGTAAAACCATTTTTGGTTAAATTCATGCTTTTATTCAGCTGTAGTAAGGCATATGATTAGATCAGAAAAAGTCTTAAGCAATGTAAATAGAAAAATGTCCAGTGTGATAAAATATACACGTGTACAGTATACAGCGGTTATCTCCCCTCATGAATAATAAACTAGAAATAACTGGACTGCCAGGTCACGTGAGCAACGTTAGTTCACTAAAGGGGAGATAACCCAGTGAGTGAAATGTGTGAAAAACAAAACAAAAATCACGTCCAATGATTCGAAGTTGCAACCGTGCTGGGAAGCTGAGGTATTAAAGAGTTGCATATATAAACAGTCCATCAATTACCACCCAACAACTCCTGACATCACTTTGAATCAATTCAAACAAAAATGTCATACATGTTTAACATGACAGTACGTCAAATACCAACTTTGAATACAGATATCTATGCAAGTTGAAAACCTTGATCATCTTCCCGAGACAAGAGAGTTAACTCCCTTGGAAACTGGACTTTTATAGTCGGTTAACTCCCTTGACTCCGGAAGACGAATCTTGATAAAACTAACATGTGCGTAAAACTTCAATATTACATAAGTGGCGATATTTACATCTAAAATGGTACCAGTGTCCTGTTATTTTGTCTAATCACGCAAAAGTCGTATTGTTAAACGGGGAACTTGCAGAAACACGTCTATCAAAACCACTTTAATAATAAAGCTGTTAGTATAATGCGCTTAAATCCATGACTTCAAGACAAAATGTCAGTTTGGCGATGATACTCTATTTGAATATACCGTGCGTACGCTTACTGAAACGTATGGATATGTGTAGGAGTATTTTCCACGACTTTCCATTCCCCGAATCAATAAATCTTTGTGCAAGCCCACTCTTTCATTAAAAAAACATAAACTTATAAATATTTCCCAGCCACTCTGGTTAGCAGGTGTTTTTACTCAACACCACATGCACGTAAAACGAGAATATAGGGCAAGGATACACAACAGCTAATCCTTGTGGCGTTGTCTGGAGAGCAAGTGTGGATCGCGTGGACACAATGTGTGGATATTATTCGGATGGTTAATGGTAACACCGAAGCGAATTATCTCACTTGGAGAACTTCTCATGCAGCTGTTTCCGTTGAAGGGGAACGCTTGCGGACCTCAACCACACGTCCAAAATAATCCTAGGTTTCTACCGTAGACGTCTGGGACACCCTTCACGTCTTCACCTTCAGGACATACTGGATATACGAGGATAGAGTATGCTAAATAGTCGATGTTGAAACACACGTTGAGTTGAAAGTTGTCGGGATGTCTACAACATGTACAGTACTGTTCAAAACGAACCCCCTCTCGATCGCGACGCGATCATTTTTCGACCTGGTTGCGATTGAGGTGATTTGTTTTGAAGGTGAACACCCCTTCATCGCGATCAGGACGCGAACAGCTCGCGGTTTTCAAATTGAGGTCGCGATCGAGGGGCGATTCGTTTTGAATATTTTTGCTACATTTCAGCAGTTCACGGGAATGCAAGTAGTTCGATTGGACTACCGGAGTTTTATGCTTTAATACAAGGACAGAACTTTAATCACAGATTTTTTACACTTTTAAAAAACATATGCCCTGTATAAATGTTAAAAATGTTACAACAAACTGTCATTGGGTGACCGTTTAAAGGACTACAAACAGTCTAGACCGCCTTGCAAAGGAGAGTATGCACGCCATGTTTGATGATGGCTAGTGATGAAACAAACAATACATGATTGGTGTATTTGATATGGATGTCATAGTTGTGTTTTGGACCTTAAATTTGCAGTGTTTCCGGCCCAGTATCGTTTTGATAACGTTTATAAATGTTTGCTAAAATTTTTAAGTGTATACTTTCTTTTGCCCGGCAGTACATTTTTCGGAATGCACCTTTGGTGATTCAAACATTTTCATCAAACATGTTTTATGATGACAGTGGTGCACAACCATGAGTTGGAAAATAAACACTGTATGACAACAAATATGCATGGAGATTAGTTCATTGGCAAATAAGTATTGTTTACAGCAAGTATCAACCTAGGTGAGGGGGCATGGATTGCCAAGTCGCCTGAGGCGCCGCAATTCGCTGGGCAGAGTTGCGCCCCCTGCTGGCTGGAATTCAGGTTCACCCCGATTATGTTTCTAGGTTTGTCAGCACCATACCCGTGCTCGTGGGTTTCACCGAAGTTGTAAACGTCTGAGACCTGCATCACTTCGGGCTTTCCTCCCACCGTCCAATAACTGGTCTACTATTCAAAGCGGCGTTACATTAAACTCCCTCACTCAATCTAAAGGATTGTTCAGTCAGAGCACTGTTTATAATTTCCTTTCAGGACAAACAGCAAATGAGTTTTACAATTTATGACTTGGAAGATGCATCCAGTTGATACATGTCATCGATCCCAATTGCGATATTAATCACTGGATTGTCTGGTTCAGACTCGATTATTTACAGACCGCCGTCATATAGCTGGAATATTGCTGAGTGCGGCGTTAAACAACAAACCAACCAACCAACCTCCGTAAAAAGTGATCCTAAGAGATGTTACCACTGTACTTATATTTGGATGAGTGAGTTGTGTTAACGCCGCTTTTGAGCAGTTATTCAATAAAAACACGTGTCGTCTTCATGTGTGAGGAAAGCCCGAAGTGATGCAAGTCTCAGGCACTGAACACTGGTGTGAACTCATATACACTTATATGGTGCTGACAAACCAATATGATAATCGGAACAAATCTCGGATTCGAACCTCCGATCGTCGGATCCCGATGCGCTTAAGGGACGCAACTCTGGACGGTGAATACCTTGATGTAATCTAGCTTCAAACAGACATATAAAAACAAAATAGATTCAAATTTCGTTCACTCCACTTTCCTATCCATTTAACACATGTGTTAATAGAATTAAATATGAAATATTAAATATTATGAACTATGTCGAATAACCCACATATACTAGCAATTTAACATAGAGAAGACATTCGTGCCTTTCCAATGTATATTTTATGGAGTCACTAAACAATTTAATTTTTCTCATTAAACTTTGTGTTTGGCAAAACTGTTTGTAATTTTTATGTGTACATATGCATTTCAATAACTCTCAAACATTCCAAATTTTGGCTCTTATGTCTAACCTAACTGATTTTTTAAAATTGCATTAATATTCCACTATTCCATAATTTGGTTCTTATTATTACACACCTAGATCTAACTGCTTATTGTAAATTTAAATAATATTCAAGTATTCCTTAATTTAGATCTTACTTTTTCTAACCTAACTGCGAATTGTAAGTTATATATGCATGACGTCATTCAATTATTATGACGTCATTGGTTTCTTTGGTGACGTCAGAGTCGCAATATGATACAGCCTGTTATGTGCTTCAAATGTTGTACGGTAACAACCCAATCAACGCTTTGTGCTCCGGGGGTAACGAAGTCGACACAACCGTTTTAACAATTCGCCTTCCACAAAAATGATAGTCAGCCAACTACTCGGATTACACTTTTTTCGATTAAACAGATGTTTCGACATAACCGAACTCGTTATATCCGAAATACTCTCATTACGAAAGGGGCAATCCTGTCATAAGAGTCTAGGTCCACAAAACTGTCTTGGTGTTAGGCCTATCGCTAATACACTACCGGGCAAAAGAAAGTATACCCCCGTGTTTGAATGTGGTTAAAAATGAAACAAACAAGAAACGGTTATTCGATGCTGATACATGACGTATTTGATACGGGTATCATAGTTGTGTTTTGGACATTAAGTTTGCAGTATTTCGGTGACTGTTTACAGCCTAGTAATCTTTTAATACGTTTGTAATGTTTTGGTCCAATTCATACAAGTGTATATTTATTTTGCTCGGCAGTTTATATATGGTTAAGTAATTAGAGTTCGTTACTCGTAGCGCTGAGATCGCTTTGTAAAACAAAGCCACAGTTTGACTAAAGAAGACTATCTTTCGAGTTACATACGTACCAGCAATACGGGTACCGATATACCGAATTAAGTCCGTGTCGTTAAAGGTATTCACAAAGTTGCGTTACTAATACTGCAATGGGTATTGTGCTTACAAACCTATAAACAAACAGAGCGAATATGAGATTGATAATACTGATTCATAATCCTTCATTAATATTCTGATAACTATGAAAACATATGGTCTAATGATGGTATAGTGACCATAATAGTTCTACTATTAAAAGTATCTGGACACTGAGTGTTCCACTCCATAGAGATAATTGTGGTTATGTGCCTTCTTTCATAGCACTTGTCTGCAAGTGTCATTGTATTCTATAATTGAAAAAAGTCTTGAAACAACTTCTATTCAAGAAAATAATTATCGGTAAAGAAGGGTAACACATTTAAGTCTGGGGATAAATTCTGTTTCTATAATGGTGTCTCTTTTGGCAAGTGACTTTGTTCGAAATGTGCCTCTGTTCACCCAGCAGTGAGTGGGTACCCGGTAGGATGAGATGGTAATGTGGCTGTTAACCTTCTAGCGCCTCACAGGCAGCTTCGGTTGTATACTCCCCAGGGAGCTGAGAATGAAAATCGAGTGCTCACTGATCCATTGACTGGGGTTATAATGTAAGCGCCATGAGCACACGAGCTGGTATGGAGCTTGGCGCCATACAAATGGACAAATTATTATTATTATTATTATTATTATTATTATTATAGTTGCGACTTCAAGACAATTAATTCCTAGTAAGACAGAGATAGGGAAATGCATGAACTATCAAAGGATTTAAATAATACAATTCCTTGAGTCAGTTGAACGCGATCGTCGTATGTATTGTAGAAAGAAATCAATCAATACTCGACTGTTCGATTGGTAATCTGACCAAGCGTCAAATGATTTTGTTTATCGGTTGTGCCAAGCATGCGATCAGTACTCAAGCTTACCTCGATATGCACAATTTACAGAGTGGGATTGATACAACCATTGGAAACTTCAGACTAAATTTAAATAATTTCTGTGACCTATCACGTGTATTAAACAGTGAGTGAGCGAGTTGAAGTTTAGCGTCACATCGGCAATATTTCAGCCATATCGTGACGATATTAAACAGGATCAGTGTGACAGTACATAGCCTTCAAATTGTGTAAATGACTCAAATATGCATACAGTGACCCCCCGTTATTCCGATCGGAACTATTCCCAGTACAGTACAAATGTGTGGATAAAAGTGCATGTCTTTTGTATTCACAAAAACGATAATTAAAGTAATTGTGCATAAAATGGAGTTTCCGGATAGTCGGGGTTTCATTGTAGACTAATAATAAATACGTACATATATGTACATACAGATATTCTAGAATTATCGTCATGAGGATTAAGAATCGGGCCCTTTTTTAAGGGATAATGAAATAGCCAAGTGGTTAAAGCGTACGGTCGTTCTTTGAAAAATGGGTGAAGCTCATTCATATCTTCCGCCGTAATATTGCTGGAATAGTGCCAAAAGCGACGTAAATCCAGGCTTACTCGCCAACTTAAAAAGGACCAATCAATCTATTATGACCCCTGCAAAACACATTGCAATAACATTAAGTAAATAAATGTCTTATGTCAACAAAATAAACAATTACCATTTTTATTTTATCTCAAAATATATCTTGATCCTTCACACATCTAATGGTGGATCTCTTACACACTACCCCCCCTCGAAAGCACAAACGAACAAACAACAAAAAAACAGCAACAAGGAACGAGCGAAAAGACAAGCTACCTTACGCCCCCACACAAATGAACCAAAGAACAACAAAAGAGCAAACTAACAAACAATAGGAACAAATAGGAGCAAGGACATTGACAAACAAATTTAAAATAATAATTTTTGTTTGAAAAAACAACAGCATAAAAAAACATGTCCGTCACTTTTGGGGAATGTACCCCGTGTTTGTGCTAGAAATGATTGCATAGAAGTGATAATCAAGATCTTTCCAAGACACTTCAATAAAATCACGTGTGCATTGGCTTTCCGTAAGTTAATATTCAAATGTGGCATTCCCCATTTTGATAAATCTAGTACAAACCTCAGTGGTCGCAATTTCAAGTGCTTCTGAGTTGCAGAACAGGATCGGTGAACAATATAACGTAACGTGATATATGAGTTATAAGACAAAACTTTGGCGAATGCTCTGTTCTGATCTCTGACAGGAAGTATTTAACCGACGTCGACACACTTAATATTCATTGGACCACTTCACTGATAAAAAGCATCTCTGAGAAATCACTTTCGAACCAGGAGGAAGTAAGCCATACTGATGTTATATCATTTACGTTATCGCGTGTTGTGCATTCTTGATTACGACCGTGCGTTCCAATGCCTCTTGCACAGAATAAAGAGAAAAGAAAAGTACTATAATGTTTGATACTTGGACATAATGCTTCGCTAGTTTTACTGTTAAGTTAACAGTACTTCCACATCCTAGCTGCAATCGTTTTCACGTGCAAAGAGTTGAACTGTCTCTAAATGCATACATTTTTTCGTTTTCGTTATTGGAAGTCGCAAATTGGGGACATTATACCTTCATGTGTTTATCTAGCGTTGTATTTAGCATAAAGGTGGCTGTCGTTGATTCCTGATATCCTACGGCAATCAATCGAAAACACATGTCCAACAAATATACACCTACCTACTGATGCAACCTTCACCAACGACGTCTTTCCTTTTTCTAATGATATATTTGGCGTAAAGATCGTGTGGTTTGAACGTTGAGGTACGTTATCGATTATTTAGTATATACCCTTGCGTCGGTTTATAATAGATGAAGATGTTCAGCTCAACGAAAAGCAACCTCACCATCCACAGAAGTTACTTATTATAATCATTTATAATCCTCTGTCAACTTAACCTTTGAGACAAATTATTATTTTATTTCATGTGGTGGGTGGGTGGGTGGTGATGGTATTTTTAGGGCTGTTGTAAGTATCGCTAAAAGGGTATTTTTCTAATACTTAATTGGCGCTTTAATTTACTTGAATACAAATTCACTCGAAATGTTAAATATCCCCTGTTTGTGATCATACTTATATGAGATATGTAATTCAAAAGAAGTAAAAAACCACCTGATTTGTTCATATGACTATAGTAAATCTGCCATATGACTAAAGATTAACCATAGCCATACGAAAAAGGGATGTTCTATAACTTCTTTTGAGCATATATATTTCCAGGCATATGAAAAAAACCAATACTGATTCAAATGCCAGGCCGACAGTATACATAATATTTGAAAGGACGTAGAAGCCAAAAGTATAAACTACGACCAAATATCAGCATACAAAGTTATAACCGAAATGTTGTAAAACGATTTCAAAAAGTGTAAAAAGACTGGCCACGCTCACAAATAATCCCTGAATCACGCATTCACCTTTAGCCTGTTTAAAACCCCAAAATGATATACCAATATAACCAAGGGATGAAGCTACAGCATCTTAAACAGCTACGTAATTCTTCTCTGAAGCAGTTGTGTAGCAAGTAGGACGTTGCATGTGCACGGTGGGAAAGCACTCTCCCTGTCTTATCCACATATCGTCAATTCACAGATGTGTTAAATATCCTCTCCATCTTCACAGGCTTCAGTGAAAGCTGTATCCACAGAATGAACAACGGCAGTGCCTACTCCTCAAAGATACCTGCACCATCTTCCTTAGGAATGTACATATGAATTCTCAGCATATACCCTGAAATATCTACACCTCCTCAAACACGCTGTGGCATTCACACATAGAACTCCGGTTCACGCCGAACCTTCAGTCTGATGGCGTTATCTGGAGGCTGAGGAAGAAGTTGTTCAGTTGTGTCGGAAGAATCGAACAGTTCCTCCTCGTCATCAGCGCGTCTATTTTTCATGGCACGAGCAGCATTGCTCTTTGTCCTACATTGTATAACGATATAAACCAAACAGGCTACAATAACTATACTGCCGATGACGATGACGACAGATAATTTGATTTCAGAAAGGATGTGTTTGTTTCTGATAATCAGATGGTGGTAGCGTGTGATGGACGATGGTTCTTCCATCTCCACCTTGTCCTCCTGGTCCATCATCTTGATGGTGTTAGTCGTTAAAAAGATTCACGACAGCAAAATAACTCTTCACAAGAGTCTACAACACATGTGCTGGAACCACAAAAACTGACAGGGAAACCTCCAACGGAATACGAATTAGCACATTTATGCCTTTAAACATCCTTGAATGAACACATTGGCATTTTAGCACACAAGGAAACGGGCGAGATGAATCCACAATGCTTTATGACGTACACACATCGTTTTACTGTGTCTTGTCATTTTCGTATCAATATCGTCACATTTCCTTTCACCAGTGCAGCATCTTAATGTAATAACGCCGTATTCTGGTGTAATCCTGAAGATGAAATTAACCCTTGTTTCCTGGTCCTAGGATGGATCTAGTACTCAGGACCTTCTTCACATTATTGTGTTAAGTCCGTGTGGGCTCTGGAACCAAATGGGTTAAGGCTTAATGCGTGGAAGCTATTCATTAAAGCACAACATTTTCTATGAATAACAATAACAGAAAAAAACCTTCCGGGAGATTAATCAGGTTTACCTTTCAGTGAAGGAACGCATTATCTGGAATGATATTGTTTTCTGAAACCTTTTATCCTTTACCACGCAGGTATAACAGGCCAGCCACTGTGGAAAATTAATGAATACCTCAGAAAAAAAGTGCAATTATTAAAGAATATTCTTGATATGGTTATTTAGGTGCTATAGAACACAACGTAAACATCCAATTGCTCACTCCGAAATATACGAAGGTAAATTCCCGTGTGTTTCAACAACTTGAAAATTAAACTTTGATTTAAATTACAGCTGTATCGAACATCCTTTTAGCTTATACACGGTTAATGAATAACATTCACTTGTAATTGTACTCTTTAAGCTATCCACGTGAATGTCACAGTATAAATCAACACGTTTCCCTTTTTCAAATAAGGTACAGAAAAATCAATATCTTTACAAGGTGCTCGCTGATTGCGTAAGACAAGACAGGTCGGATATATCCGACTACAGCATAGGATACTATGAGGCAAAGATACATCAGTGGACAAGGTAGAAATGTCACTACTCACATGCGATTGACCACTGTTCTGTTCCACGCCGTCACATTTCTTAACCACACTCATAGGCACAGATAGGGCTGTCATTTAACACTGTATAATTCTTGGCTTCTTTTCACAGAGATCACATATGTAGCAGTTTTAGTTCAACACGCACGAACAGTTATATCAAAGATGATCCTATATCCTGAGACATGATTGGAATGTCACACGGTGAAATACAGGAACGGTGCCACACAGACACGAATCTATATAGTAGAATGCCTTCAAGACCTGGATCTCCCTACACCTCAGCAACCATAACGGATAACTACGGAGAATATTCCAGCCAACTGCACTATGATATTCCATCTAACCAGCGGTGTTTGGAATCCATAGTGGCGATCACCCGAGCCCCGAAACACGTTGACACAACACGATCAATACCAGGTCCGAGACTCACAACATAGTGTAACGGTAGAAAAAAGTCTTCCTTCGACACGGGTCAGCCTTATTTTCCGACGGTCACACTAGTTAAAAAGCATGGTAAAGCAGGAATGTTTATAGCTTACCTATATACGACTGCCAGGATGGTAAACGTGTTATTTGTTTGCGCTGGTAACGGTTACTGAATCATCCATGTATTCCTTTGTAGTTGAAGACACACCTTTGGGAATTCATCGTGGTGTTCAACAAAGGCAAGCTTTGCTTCAGCGACTATGAATGATATCACACAGACGGTGAATTCTGGCAGCACTGGAAACGGCACAGGTGCATTGAGAACGCAGGGATGGTCTACACGTGTGCAAGGTGAACCACATTATACTGCTAAATCGTCATGGTATGTGTTTTCTTTCGAATCTAAAATAAAACACACTAGGTATCGAAATAAATATCCCGATTTCAATACAGCGCTTGTTTCACAGGGATGTCGATATATGAGACTGCTTGGGGATCTCGCCGCTGCCAGTCACTCAATCAAGGGAGGATGTGACATGTGTTTGTGTTCTGCTCGGTTCTGGTGCTGACGGTGTATGTCAAGTTACAATCCCTCCGTATATGTTGTAGATACCTAGTGTACAAAGCGCGGCCTGCCGTGGCTGTCAGAACTGTGTTTGAGATCCCGTCAGATGACGCGCTCAACCATTGATTGCCCGGCTGGTATTGGTAGTAGGCTTGCTACAAGGGCAGAGATGTTTCCTGTTTCGAGGATTCCTGGACTAAAATGGCAATCTCTTCTCAAATGCTAATCTGCCGTCGTTCATGAAGCAGCGGTTCCTGCGTTCCATGCTTGGGCTTGCTGTACACATTCAGATCAATGTTTCACACAACTTCCTCTGTCACCTGGGATCTCTTCCTATATTTCACTTTGCCTCATCTGTCTCAGCACGTGACGAGATTAAACTTTAATCCAGTTGAACGAGAACAAGGATCGTCGGAAACCTCACAGAAGCCGTACGTCGCTTGCTGGCTTTCGCTACCTCTGGGTCCAAAGTTATACTCACAACAAATAGAATTTGAAGAGGAAACTCGATTTTTTTTCCTTTTCGCAAAACCTTTATCGATCTTTAGAGAATCAGTCTTTCCAGTTTGTGGTGTTTGATCAGATTATGTAGGCATAAAACCAGGCTAGAAGAAACAGCAGAGCAGACGGAGGGAGGGCATGACTTGGAATGAAGACTCTCTTGGTCATCCGCCGACAATTGAATGTCAGAATTACGTTTTTCAAATGTCAGTAACAGGGTTGGAATGTCCCCGCGTTATGGAATTATCTGACATAGGTGGACACGATGAGCTCTCTCGTCAGCCCCCTTATTTAATACACCATTGATGGTGTTATTGTAAGTGCCAAATCTCTGTTAAGTGGCTGGAGATTGTGTATAGATTGACTAATGTTGGTTCTATTGAGAACCGGAATGACAGTAATTATACCTTTTCGGAGCTACTCGATGGTGTAGATCTGTTAGTGGGTTGGAGGAAAACCGACAGTGTTAACAGAGGCGGATAAAAATAGTCTCGTGGTCCAGATGACCTGTGTCGTATTTGGTGTGAGTGGCTGTTTACGTGAGTAGGGGGTTGGGGTGAGGGTAGGGTTGTTGGCGTGGCTAGGTGGGGATCAGATGGCAGTCAGCATCACTATAAGAGAGTGGCGTGTTGTCTTTTGTTTGTTTGTGGTTTTTGTCCCTGTTAGCAATGGTCCTATTTATTTCTCACGGTGGTGCCTAAATCTATTCGAGACCTGACAAACCATTGTTGATATTAATAGTCAAGCTGTCGGTGTTCTATGACTGACGCGCATTCAACTACCGTATTCGACGTAATAAGCGCCCACGGCGATATTTGCTAATATATTGGCTAGTGAACGATCCAAATTAGCACCCCTTCCGATTGTTCAATGTACACAAGACTTATTTATTCGTGTATAATACGTGTGTTTTATGCATCCTTAATTATGGGTAATTAAATTCTGGAAAAATATATCTGTCGTATATTTACATTTCACGCTGTCAGCATAAACTACGAAATTTACGATCTTTCAATTGTTTTTCACCAAAATAATGTTCTAATACCTACCCCCTATTTTTTTATTTTCAGAGCGCCCTGGGCGCTTATTATGTCGAGTACGGTAATCGAATCTGACTACCTGACTCACTCATGCGCATTCTATAAGTTGACACGGTTTTGTTTGTTTGTTTGTTTGTTGTTTAACGCCGCATTCAGCAATATTCCTGCTTACGCGGCCTGTAAATAATCGAGTCTGAACCAGACAATCCAGTGATTGACATCATGAACATCGATATAAGCATTAGGAATACGATGACTTGCATCAACCAAGTCAGCGAGCCTGCCCACCCGATCCTGTCAACTGCCTCTTACGACAAGTATGGGTTGCTGAAGATCAATTTTAAGTAATAGCTGCTGGGGGTTCATTTAACGCTGGTGTATTTGGTCACAGCTACATATATGAGTGGCTTTCTATGTATGCAAACAGCTTTCATTCTCGGCAGCCATTGTGAACAGTTTCCTATTTTAACATACCCTACATAGAACTGGTACACGCAATATTTTACATTATTACACTATATATATGCGACTGATGACTGCTGAAATCCTACATATCGTTCCCTTGGTTGGTGTGTTTGTTGTTTTATGCCGCAATCACCATCATTTGAGCTCCATCATGTCGGCCTTTGAAGAAATGATTCAGACAAACCAATGGTTGATATCATGAGCAACACCCTGCAATAGTACAGGGGTCTCTTCTACGGGGCCTTGGATATAGGAGACAGTGCTGGGGGAAAAATGTATCAAATATTTGTATCAAGATTGAGTGAGTATGGTTTTACGCCGCTTTTAGCAATATTCCAGCAATATCACGGCGGGGGACACCAGAAATGGGCTTCACACATTGTACCCATGTCGGGAATCGAACCCGGGTCTTCGGCGTGACGAGCGAACGCTTTAACCACTAGGCTATCCGACCGCCCCTTTGTATCAAGAGCGAAGGTCTTCAAAATAATGCGAGTTGACATCGCGTTGAAGATTATTGATTATTATTACATAGCGACAGGTACTATCTTTTAACGTCTTTTGCTCTGATACGGTAAGCGATGGAACCATCGGTCTGTCGCTCTCCCCGGCCGACGCTCTAAACCCGAGACTACGAATGCAGTATTTAAACAATGTGGCTAGATACGAAATTCACTTAATTCTTCTTGTCGCTTCTGTATTTAAGTACGATTTCTTATCAGTATCTGTTGCACGTGTCAGATGTGTACAAGTATACGTGCGTGTGGGTATTATTTTAATTCCAACAAGTAATGCTTTTCAATATTTCACATTTTCGGTTTATCTATCATAATAGATATATTTTCTTTCATTTTCATTACAATCGTCCGTCAGTCGAAAAAAATTATACAGTTCGTCCCCTTTATATTGAATTTGGATTTACAAAAGCCTATTTTTGTGTTATTTTCAACTTTACGTTTGCTGCAACCACGAGAGGCAATGACCATACATGCAACTTTTGACTTGACGGATTAAAATCTGAAGCTTCGAGGCTGCATCGAAGGCAGTTCTGACTCACCCATAACGTTAATCAACGTTATTGTCAACGTTATTGTCAACGTGGATATTACATTAACAAAGTGATATTAGATGTCTCTTGAGCTTTGTAAAATCGCCATTTGACCTTATTGTGTATAACTAAGTGCCTCTATCTCGACAACAATGATCTCAGTTTACAATCCTAACAAGGCAGGACGTCTCTACCGGCAGGCACCGTGTCCACTAATCTGCCACGGTCCAAAACAACTGGTGCCAGTGAAGAATACGCTGTGTAACGAGCTTCGATCTCCGACATAATGGTCGGTTGGTTCCGACAGACAACAAGACTATCGGCGAAATCAAGCTGATTTGTAGCTCGAATAAACAAATGCGTCTTCCCACGATCATAGACAAACTGACGATTAAAAGCACCAAAGCCATTCCATCCAAGGTGGGCGTATTCTCCACCTGTCGCGTAGAGTCGCCACTGTTTAAGATGACCATTTTCCCAACGCAAAACACTAGGACATTTTGGGTGGCAGCGACGGAATTATATCTGCGGTCGTAAAGCTGGGAAGCATGTTAACGATCGATAAATGAACTGGTAATCCCTGCCCTACGGATAATCAGATTTACTCATCGATCGCAGCGGATTGAGCAACCGAGTGTAAACAGCCTTCAGTCCTCAAGCAAGGGTGATGTTGCCACCATTTACCAGAACGAGAGAGCCACGCGGTATGCAGCTACCTGCTCGCTTATGCTAATGGCAGCCACGAAGAGCTGCTACACCTGAACTATGCTTACATCTTCAAACATGACTAGCATTGATTGCAGGTCTGAAACTCCGTTGCCTAGCATGGAGAGACCGTTGCTGGCACTCTGATTGGATACAGTTCCAAGTCTCACTTTACCAGATGGAATCTCAGTTGGACCGGTGTTACACCGTGTCTTTTGCCAACACTGAATCCAAATCTACGGGAACGCTGCGGGGTCATAATTGTAAATCACTTTATGGGTTTGGTATTGATGTTTGACATCATGAACGATGTTCCAAGGCAGTTTTTAATACACCGTTCCATACTATTTCCTGACATTTAAAGACATATATTTGCTGAAATATGACCCGTGCAGCCACGATCATGTATCTTAAAATTACTTCGCTGGTATAGAGTTACAACTGTGTTAAGATCAAAGTACGGGGATAGGATTTTATGTTTGTATCTCAAGGCCTCTTATCGGTTTTCCGTAAATCTGGTTCCGCCACGTCCATCAAATGTGGGGGATGGACTTCAATGTCTTTTATAGTTAAAATAAGGTGCATATTTATAATGCACCAAATCCGCGCCAAAAGCGAACTCAAAGCGCTATATTATTACTGGTCATTGGATCAGTGTGCACCCAATTTTCATTATCAGCTCCCTGGGGAGTATGCAACCCAAGATGTATGTGTGGCGCTAGAAGATAACCAGCTATTTTCCATCTCATACTACCGGGTACCCAGTAATGCAGCTGCAACATCAACTACCACTACGGCTCCACTCATGCAGCTGCAACATCAACTACCACTACGGCTCCACAAATGCAGCTGCAACATCAACTACCACTACGGCTCCACTAATACAATTGCAACATCAACTACCACTACGGTTCCAGTAATGCAGCTGCATCATCAACTACCACTGCGGCTCCACTAATGCAGCTGCATCATCAACTACCACTGCGGCTCCACTAATGCAGCTGCAACATCAACTACCACAACGGCTCCATTAATGCAGCAGCATGCATCAACTACCACTACGGCTCAACTAATGCAGCTGCAACATCAACTACAACAACGGCTCACCTAACGCAGCTGCAACACCAACTACCACTACGGCTCCAGTAATAAAGCTGTAACATCAACTACCTCTACGGCTCCCCTTATGCAGCGGCAGCATCAACTACCACTTCGGCTCCAATAATGCAGCTGCAACATCAACTTCCACTACGGCTCCAATAATGCAGCTGCGACATCAACTACCTTTACGGCTCCACTAATGCAGCTGCGAAATAAACTACCACTACGGCTCCACTAATGCAGGTGCAACAATAACTACCACTACGGCTCAACTCATGCAGCTGCAACATCAACAACCACAACGGCTCCATTAATGCAGCTGCAACATCAACTACCACTACGGCTCCACTAATGCAGCTGCAACATCAACTACCAGAACGGCTCCATTAATGCAGCGGCAACATCAACTACCACCACTGCACCACTAATGCAGCTGCGACATCAACCACCACCACGGCTCAATTAATGCAGCTGCAACACCAACTGCCGCTACGGCTCCTCTAATGCAGCTGCAACATCAACTACCGCTACTGCTCCACTAATGCAGCTGAAACATCAACTACCACTACTGCTCCACTAATGCAGCTGCAACATCAACTACCACAACGGCTCCACTAATGCAGCAGCATGCATCAACCTCTACGGCTCCACTAATGCAGCTGCGACATCAACTACCACTACGGCTCGCTAATGCAGCTGCAACAATAACTACCACTACGGCTCAACTAATGCAGCTGCAACATCAACAACCACAACGGCTCCATTAATGCAGCGGCAATATCAACTACCACAACGGCTCAACTAATGCAGCTGCAACATCAACTACCATTACGGCTCCACTAATGCAGCTGCAACATCAACTACCTCTACGGCTCCACTAATGCAGCTGCGACATCAACTACCACTAAGGCTCCACTAATGCAGCTGCAACAATAACTGCCACTACGGCTCCACTCATGCAGCTGCAACATCAA